ATGGTTTATCGGTTAATGGCCAATAAATTCCACTTTTCAAAAAAAAAATGACATAAACAGGATACTTAGACCAAATTGCAGTTCCTACGCAGTATATGCGAACTCTTTCATATTTCAAAATAGATACCACAATCTGAAGCTTCTGTGAAAGTCAAATAACCCATACAGCATCAAGGCCAAATCATGGTCTAAGTATCTTCATTAAAACAGAACATACACCAACATAAAGATGCCAGAGATTAAAATTCATTGACTAAACATCAACCCAATCTATCTCTCTATCTCTTTCGAGCAAAGCAAGGGTCTCTTTTCCTATTTTAATTAGAAAAAAGAGGATAATTGGAGTCATGGCTACTCTAAACTTGGGATGCTGGTAAATCTCTAGTGTAAGGCTTCACATAATACATTCCTCTTCCTCCAATGTTCATCAAATAAGAAATCTGGGCCCTTCAAGATCCCAGACAAAAAATGAACCAAAAAAAAAAAAGAACAGAACACTCACTCTTGAGCTTCTACAGTTGCATGTTTTCAACTCTGTGATAATTCACAGCGGTGACTCATAAAATGACGAGTTTATTTGGATCTAGTGTTGAATCTTTGGGATTATGATGAGATTTTTTTTTTTTTTGGGGTTGGCAGGGGAAAAAGTTTTCAGCCTTTGTGGCCAAAACATGCGAGTACAGCTGAAATCTGAGTGTACTGGCCTGATGCTGGGAACAATATAAAACATAGGCTTAAGTTTGCTGGTTTTAGTGAAAAAAAGGCCACATACTGGCCCTAAAATGTGGTACTGAATCAGCTCATTACATCAGGGGAAAAATCTGAAAGGGCAAGTAAGAAACCATCTCAAACTTTTAAAAGTTTTACTTAAGTATCTTGATCTGTAAAAAAGGCTTGTGATTAATCCCATGCAGTAGGTAAAGGTTTTCTTGTTGCTGCATGTTGCTGTTGTATCATGAATTGTTCGAGGATCAGCAGCAAACATACAGATATGAAAGCCCTTCATATAATTTGTCTACATCTTACTGCATAAGATAAAAACCAAGACAATAGCAGGTACAAAAAATTGGATAATGGAAGCCACATGATAGTAAGTACATAGATCTGAGTAACTGCAAAATAGGCAGAAATTTAATAAAAAAAAAATCTATAATACATATCCAAAAGGAAAAACTAAAAGTTTAATAAACTGTACCTGTTGTTTTGTGGGTTTACGGAAACTGAGTAGCAAGCAATAGTTCACAAGACTCTTCAATTTCTGACTGTATCGGTCATTACAGATGCAAATGATTGGGATTTTGGAAATTTTTATGCTGGCAATAAGATCAGCTATTCCACCTCTATCACCAGCAGACATGCCATCCACCTCATCCATGATCAGGACAGTCTTTACATGTTTTGAACTGCAATTTCCATTAAAAAATTAAATTGTCTGAGAAAATATTTGAAAAAGGTTTATAAATTTCCTATGAAATGACACAAAGATTCCATAAGAACAGAAAACAAACCGATCCATGTTAACACTCAAGGCTTCATTGCTAACAAGTTCCTTTATTGAATTTGCATTGCTTCCACCAATTCCTTTAGAAATTTTGGCATCAGCCTTCCCACGACTATCACTAGCATTTACCTATATGAAAAATGCAGGATACGCATCAACAGACATTAGTTTTGGGCAATGTAATCTGAATTTAAACTAATAATCAAGATTGATTTTGGTAAAATAAACTCCACCTCAATGGTCTGGAAACCTAGCATCTGACTAACCAACTTTGCTGATGTAGTTTTCCCAATGCCAGGTGTTCCACTCAATAGGACAGCCTTTTTGGCACCAGGATCATTTTGCTTTTTGCCCTTTCCCTTACTTCCATTTCCAAGAAATTGCTCATTCCAATGTGCCAACCAATTGTGAAGTTGGTTAACCTGCAGCCATGACAAAAAGAGATTATAATGAGAATGCTTCCAGCATATGTTGCTCAGACTCAGGACTTTTGGACGTGGTTTTGATTCTAACATGGATGCGTACAATTTTTTCTCCAAATTTTTCCTCATATTTGGAGGTCAATAACCCATATCAATGGCCAATTTGAGGTGCCACATCAGTGGTTTTTTATGAAAAAGTGAGCAAGATGACCACTAGCCTTCTGAAAACAGAAATTAATGTTAAAACATATCCTGATAAAGGATGACACAGTAGAAACTCATACCAATGATTGATTCCCAGTTATTTCATTTGGAACTTTTGGCCTATATTTTTCAGTCCATGTCAGAGACGACTGCTGGATTGGTTGCCCTCTCTGCTTCGTGGATGAGACACTTGTAGTCGAACTTTTACCAGATATCTTTGCTGATGAAGAGTTGCCTATGCAAGAAGCAGCATAAGTTGAAGACAATGGTTTAAACTAAAAATAATGGCAAATCAAAGTTCATTTAAAAATGAAACTACATGCACAATTCAAAGAAAGTTACATAAGATGACAATCTTCAGCAATTTGTTCGTAGCATGGAAAAATGGAATATAAATCTAGCTATATACAGAAGTGGCCAAAGATTCATATCCAGTTTGAGAGACAAAAAAGATACAAGTAAGAGGTGGAAAACAATAGATAGATCAGCCATTAAGTTTGGATACCAGGAGAGCAGAAAGTGATGGCATGACCATAGTAGAGAAACGGCTACCATTTAAGAACAGGCAAGTAAAGGAAAAGGAGAAGAATTATCGATACAAGTAAAAGAACTCACTAACTGCATTGGATATTCAAAGAATACAATTATAAAGATTCCTTTCTATCCAAAGCTATGAACTGCAGATTTATTATGCTAAAAGTAGCAACAGCAAATAACAGTGTGCTCCATGTGCGTGATAATAATAATAATAATAATCATAATAATAATAATAAAGGTAAAATTCACAAGCAGTTCAAAGCATTGTTGGTCAGAACATGAACATTTTTCAAAACGATGTGAAAAAAGGAAACTGCATATCAACAGAAAAGTGCTTTTATTATTAGTATGAATAGTAACTCTAAATAGTTAAACTAGAAAATGCAATGATATCAAGAACATAACAAACATGGGTATCAGTGGGTTCTTCATCACTGAAAACAAGAAGAACTGACCTCTCGGAGAGCTCCACAATCACAATAAAATAGAAAAAACTAGCTTACAAGCTTACAAACTTATAGTTTCATATAGTCATATACTTCTATTCTAGTTGGAAAGCTGGATCTACAAAATTTTTGGCATGTTCCAGTTTTCCTGTGTCAACCATGAAAGAACTTATTCAGCTAAGAACTACTAGATAGTAAGTATGAAAAGCAATAAGGCCTGCATTCCAGAATCCATCATACAGCAAAAGTACAGACATATAAAATAGTACAAAAATAAATGAGAATATCATCTAAACAAGCTTAAGGATAAGAGCTGCAACAAAAAGATAGGATTCTTTGGCATCATGGCTGAGCCACATCAGCAAACAAATGGATGGACATAAAAAGGGAAAAACCTATAACAATAACACCAACCTCCAGGTTTGGCACCACCATAAACCCAGTCATAACCTCTAGAATGTATTCTACACATTGTAAAATAGTAGCTAACAGTGGAATTTCATCAACCTTCATTGAAAGTTTACACAAACAAGAGTGGCAAGAACAAAATCCAGTGGCAAGAATAAAATCCTTTGGCAAGTAAGTAGTCAAAATTTCACCATCTTGCTACTTGTAAGTAAAAGTCATGTCATAACAACCATATATACTATTATGTGGTCAACCACTAAAAAAATGCAGCAGAAGCTAAAGTGCATCATTATTTGGGCCATACTCTTCACTTCCATTTTCTGGGGGCTCTTCTTAGGTAGAGACGCAGCAAAGCTTTCTGCAGATTTTTTTGACTCTTCTTTTGAATGAGCTTTTCCACGATTTGAAGCACGGATCATGTCAAACAATCCATCCTCAGTAAGAAAAGGAATGCTACAATAAGAAATAAAAACTAAGATTAAACAAAAGAAACAGGGCAATAAGGAATTCAAACTTAAATTTTCCAATAAGGGGGACAACAAACCCAAGCTCTTTGGCTTTAGAGGACTTTCGACCCTCAATATCTTCATCGCATAAAAGATAATTCTGCAGATGGAGAATGTTAATCACTTGCCAAAATTGGGACAGGAAGTAAAGAGATCTTCAGGTATAAGAATAGAATAACCGTTTTTTTGCTGACGGCTGCAGTAATACGACCACCATGGCGTTTGATCAAGTCCTCTGCTTCCTCTCTTTCTAAACTGTAAGGGAAAAGTTCAATGATTATGATGCCATAAAGGCCCGATCCATCAGGAAAATCATCCATAAATAAATATTTAAAAAAATGCAATTGTAAGTAAAACCCTTCATAGAAAAATATGGTCTATTGCTCCATGTTGCTGAGAAGAAATGCATCAAGAATAGTTTTACACATGAGAGCAAGAGGAATAAGTACTTGAATGTCAATATCAATAACAAATAAAATACCTGTCAAGCGTTCCACTAATTACAAAAGTTAGACCAGCTAAGCAATCAGAAGCACCTTCAGGGACTTCCTGACATAACAGAAATTCAATGTTAACCAGTATTCATGCTGATCCAATTATGATTAAATCAGACATTTCTAATATAGCTCCACCTTCTCTCCTTTATGAGGAGGATCTTTCCTTTCTCCAAAATTCATAAATCCACCTCGTCCACGGCCTCTGCCCCTTCCACTAGCTGGTGCCACTGATGCACCCCTGCCACCACGCCCCCCCCTGCCACCAGACTTTACAGGAGACTCCAAGTCCTTAGCATCATCTTCATCACTTTCATCATTATCTTCAGCTTTTTGTGCAACACCCCTTCCTGAACCACTCTTCCGTTTCTTACTGGGAGTGACATCAACAGTATTCTTTGATTTGGGGAAAACAAAGTCATCATCAATATCAACTTTGCTTGGTTTCTTCGAAGGTGGGGGCTTTTCAACACTTTCATTTTCATTTTGAACTTTTCTCTTGGCTGGAAGTTCCTCCGTTCCTTGTTCACCTTTTGGCTGTTGTTTTCCTGCAGGAAAATACTTGCTAGTTTTCCTTCTGCCAGAAGTTTCTTGGCCTCCAAGTACCTTGATAAATTTCAAATGACAAAAATCAGATAAAGAAAGAAACATTTAAGCATAAGTTAGACCAACATTTTAAGAATAATTTTGGCCAAGAACGAGGACGGAGGGAGATTCATATCTGCCCATTCATGCTTTCTTCATTGTCATTTCCCTCTAGGTACTAAAATTAACATATGCTTCCAGCCAATTACGTATAGATTGAGCCACACATTAGCATTTGGTCCTATAGGAGCCTTCAATTACTCATACGAATCCCTCCCTTCACTTACTCCTTGATTCAAAGCTTTTCATGTGACATATAGCATCCTCATGTTGGTGACAAAAATGCTTATTTTCATTTTAAAATGGTAAAACAAAGTCTCAGTTAGTTTATTGTTGGTTGGTTGCTAATAAAGCCAGGGAAAACATAAAAGATTATCATTTTAAACTATTTTTTATTTCTCTTGCTTTTCTTTAAACTCGGTATATTAAAATTGGTTGTAAAGTTTTTCTCATTCAGGAAAGAAACTAAAGAAACTAAGTACACAACTGGACCTTATAAAACAAAAATACAGTCGTATGATATTCCTTTTCCTTTCGGTGTACTCTCAGCAACCAAACAACAAGTCACAGCAATTCTTCACAGAATTGTGAAACAACCTAAATAGAATCTTCAGATGGCAATACATGGATATCATTCAATTTCCAATATTATTGCCAAAAACCTAAGCAAAAGAACCGTGGTGAAATCTTATGCAAGAAGAAATATACATATAAAAATGGCAAAAGATATACTCACAGAATCTGTATTGGTTGGCGCCGGGTTTGCCGGCTTTGAGGCATTGCCTTTGCCTTTATCATGCGCTTTCATAAACCATTTCCTAATATCCGACTGCAATCAACACCAAAGCAAGGCCCATTGTATCCAAAAAAAAGCAGGCAAATAATTAAAGATCACATTTCATATATGAACAATAATTCCCTATTTGATTGTTGCAGAAGATCAAAAAAAATGAAAAAAAAAAAAAAAGAAAACCTCCCAGTTTTCTAGTGAAAATGTAGGGTTAAAAAGGCTCCTTTCCCCCTTTTATCAAAAAGGAAAAAAAAAACAAGTTTTTGTTTTCTAAATAACAAAGCAGATTAAAAAAAAAAACCCCTTAAACCCTAACTGTCTATAGTTCATGTTTAAGAATTTGGAGGAGGAAAAAAAAAACTCTTGGGAGTTCAAAAGCCGAAACTCACCATATCCGATGCTTAAGGAGGCTCAATTTCTTCGGGATTTGACCTTCTCAACACAATCTGCACACGAAATTTCACCAACTGTAAGTATAACTAAGCAATGTACACGCAATTTTGTCAAAGGAAACAGTTTAAAATCCAGATTAGTGAAAGGGTTACAAGAACAAAGTAAGGCAGAATTTACGTATAGTGTTTCGTTTCTTTTTGAAATATTTTAATTTTCCCAGCTGTGCTTTCGAAAAGAGGGAAAAGGAAAGAAAAGGGGGGGAGGACTCACGCCATGGCTAGAAGAGCTTGAAACAGAAAATGGCTCTTGACCTTTTTTGACATTTCCTTTCTCAAATAAAAAGATTCAAAAATAATTTTAGAAACTCTAAATCTCCATTAAAACCTTTCTAAATAATATTAATAATAATTAATAAAAAAATATTTGACTTTCCCACATAAGAATCTTCCATAACATACCCAAGAGAGATTCCCCCTTTTGCCATGTCACGTGTGGGTTAAAAGGGTGGCCATGGAAGCTTTTTTTTTTTTTTTTTTTTCATATAAGGGGAAATTTTATTGAATTTATTTAAAATAACATTCTAAGCCAATGAACACTTAGAAAGTCTGTAGTAATAAATAAGAAATATTTATAGGGAGAATATTATAAACTTGTAATTTATGTTTAAATCATTATAATGAGTGGTCATCCAATCGACACAACTGATTAGCTTCACAATGTATGTGAAATAAGTGACATTTTCATTTTTTGTAAAGTAATTATCTGATTGATTGTAATAACTGGATATTTGACTCTAGATCGTTTTCTTAATTTTGTATTTTCTGCACTGCTAGAAGCGAATATGTTTCCACTTGTACTTTCCTATAACTTTTAGACCAACATAACTCTAATCCATGATAGATTGCCTAGAGTTCTGTAGTTATGCTTGTTTGGTTTAGTTTTTTTTCAACTTGTCTATTTCTTAAAAGTAAAAACCAAGTTAAACAAAAATTTAGAAAAACTCTAAAAAATAAGTAACTTTTTTTAAAGAAAAAATTTTCAAAAAAAAAGTTAAGGTTAATTACTTGGTTGTAACTGATTGCTGCATACTCCTAGCAAAAATAGATCAAAAATCAAATGCAAATAGGATTAATAGGGAACTCGAAAAATATGAAGAAGCACCGAAAAGGCAGATAGCTATACAAATGGAGTAAAAAATTATATACAATGAATTAGTAAGAAAAAGAGAGTGATTAAAACCTTAAACAATAGATATAGTGTTCATCTAATTCTCAGGTAGGAAACCTTACTCGACGATTTGGGTTCGAGGGTGGGAAGAGGTGCAAGAATGAGTAGAGGTGCAATGGTTGTTTAAGAGTTCAGGGTATTTAGGAGTTGATTTTAGCATAGATTGAAAGGGTTTAGGATCAATATGAGGTGCAATGGTTATGGTGACAATGAACGGTAGGTAGAGGTGAAAAAGTAATTGATACATAGCATAGATATTGAAGCTTTGTAGTGGTTTGAACGATAGTGAAGTTCTGTTCTGAAAACTGATAGTTTATAGCTGAGAAAGAAGAGAAAAAGAGGAAATAAGGTAGGGTGTCATAAACTATGCGCATTTGCTTAAATATGCGATAGTTCTACAACGCTTAAGTGGATGCTTCCACACAAGCCAGCTAATAACTCGTCTAGATCGGAACAAATATCAATAATAGTCATAAATTAGATTAAGACAATGCACATCGAAATAATAGGACATATCAAATACCATACATGCAACCACTAGAGCCATATAAAGAAAAATGTTTTATTAATATGAAAATGAGTACAAAGGGACCAAGACATGCCATCGTTGTAGTTTGCTACATACATACTTTTATCAGTGAGGCAGTCTAACAATTTGTCGATTGCTTACCCCCTATAAAGAGTTTATAAGATTTTACAAGTGTTCTACCAATAACTATTACAATACTTGAAATAAAGACAATATTTTCCTAAAGGGTTTTCCCCCCTAAAGACTTAACAAGTACTTTAAAAGATGTCACCATGAGACATTACAATGTTTGAAAGGGCGATATTTTCTTTACAAGTACAAAAGACTCAATTTCCTGGACAACTTTATCTTGTCATAGTCCAGTATATGTTTAACTCATGACATCCTCCCTCACTCAATCTATTGACGTCTTCATTGATTGGTTGGCTTGAAATTCTTCAATCTTTTGTTGGAAAGCATGAAGATTGCCTTCCTTCTTCTAATTGATATCATTGGTCGTCGGGTGATTATCATCAACCTTTTTGCTAAAATCTCTTCCACTAGATGTTGTGATGGTGGCATGGTGCTAATGGCAACTTTTTTGGCTCCACTCTTGCTAACATCTGTTGGCTCTGCATGGAATGGTTTTAGGTTGCTGACGTGAAACAAGGGGCGTACCTTTATCCACTTAGGTGGATTAATCCTATAAGAAGTCTTCCCTACCTTGGCTACAACTAACACTAGACATTCATACTTTCATACTAGTTTGGATCCCTCTTCTATAGAATAAAGCTTTTCAAGTATCAACTTCACCAGCACTAGATCTTTTCACCTTAAAGTGTTGCTCCTTTCAACCTTTATCTATCCACTTCTTCATACGGCTAGAAGTTTTCTCTAACTAGGCTCTATCGATTTCAATGTTTTGTCTCCACCTCCTTACCAAAGTTAAATGTTCGGGGACACTTCCCACTATAGGATTCCACTAAAGTATGGAGAAATCTAAGTTATTATCCGATGACGACCTCGAAAGGGGTTCTATTAGTGGCTGAGCTTTTCTGTGAATTGGGAGATTGTAAGCCACATCTAATAGGTTAGGCTAATTCTTCTGGTTTGCCTATACTAAATGTCATAGGTATTCTTCTAACAACCTATTGAAGCATTCTATTTAACTATCTATTTGTGGGCGATTATTGGAAGATATGTTCAGTTTTAACATCAATAGCTTGAAAAGCTTTTTTCCAGAAAAAGGTTGTAAACCTTAAATTTTTGTCGCTGATAATGCTTTTAGGAACATCTTAATATTTATCACATGTTTAAAAACCGTATGAGCCATTTCTTTTGTGGAGCTAAACTTCTACATCGAAATGAATGTCACTTACTTAGAGAAATGGTCCACCACCACCAAGATCGTTGTCATTTCTCTAGAAGTCCTACCATAAAGTTTAGAGAAATACTTTCCCACGGTTTGGTCAAAACACCGATAGAGATTGAGCATTCTTATAGATCTTTGTTTGTCTAATTTTTCTTGTCGGCAAATGAGGCACATCTTCATATAATCTATTAACATCTTGCCATATATGAAGCCAATAGTAACCTGTTTCAATAATTTAATGATCAACTGCCAACTTGGATGTCTTGTCCAAAGAGTGTCTTGACATTCTCGCATTAATTTTTGCCTAAGCTATCCCACTCTTGGAACAAATATGTGTGGTTCTTTCATTAGAAAGAGTTTACTTTTCACCAAAATTATTTCAATTTTTCACTTTCTACCAACTTCATAATGGCTACTTAGGGATCTCGATGCAAGTTTTCCTTAATAAGATTACAAATGTCTGTAGTCACTTTATTGGCTATCATTGGTGCAATCACTCTTAAAGCTATGAATTCAACTTTCTACTGAAGGCATCTACCATACGGTTAACCTTTCTGGCTTTGTGCTCAAAAAAGAAATCAAACTCAGTTAGGAACTCTTCCCATCTCGCCTGTTTCATTGTAAGTTTTAGTTGCATGAGGAAATGACTTATGACTGTGTTGTCAGTCTTAATCACGAATTGTGATCCTAGCAAGCAATGTCGTCAAGCCTATAAATAGTGAATCACTACTAGTAGTTATTTCTCCTATGCCATATATCTCTTCTCAACTTCATTCAATGTTTGGCTTTCAAACGCAACCGGGTGTCTATCTTGTAACAACACTCCTTCAAGGTAAAGTATTGATGCATTTGTCTATACCTCGAATGGTCTTGCAATATCAAGGAGTGATAAAATGAGATCTATCATCATCGCATTTTTCAAGCCTTCAAAGCTTCTTGGCATTATGACATCTAACTCCACTTTTGTCATTTTTTCAACAATCTGTAGTGCTACTGTACTTCTTGAATATCATTCTATAAATCTCTGATAATAATTGGCTAGCCCTAAGAACGAAAGAAGTTTAGTTGTATTTTTAGGGGTGGCCCACTCTTTAATAGCCTTCACTTTCTGCACATCCATCTGGATGTGCCCTTGTTCAATTATGTGGCCAAGGAACTAAATTTGGGTTTATGCGAATGCACATTTCTCCCTTTTCACATAGAACTGGTTGTCGCGTAGCCTTCAAAAAACTTACTGTAAGTGCCATTGATGCTCTTTTAAAGTTGAACTGTACACTACAATATCATCCAAGTAGATTACCACAAACTTGTCTAGATAATCATGGAACACCTAATTTATCAATGTGCAAAAAGAAACAAGACCATTAGTTAGTCCAAAAGGCATAATAAGAAATTCAAATATGCCATACTGTGTTACGCAAGTGGTTTTTGGTTTATCTCCCTCAACCACTCTTACTTGATTGTATCTTAATCTCAAATATAATATGGAGAAGTACTTTATATAACTCAGCAAGTCAAAGAGATCTGCTATAAGAGGGATATGACATTTATTCTTAACTGTGACTTTATTCAAAGCTAGTAATTCACGCACAATTGTAAACTCTCATCTTACTTCTTTTGAAAGAATACTAAGACCCTAAAAGGTGCCTTAAATGATCGAATAAATCTAACCTGAATTAGCTCATCTAATTGTTTCCTTTGCTCCGCTAATTCTAGAGGAGTCATCCTATATGGCCCTTTTGCAAGGTGATTGACTTTTAGGAGTAATTACATCTCGTGACTGACAACTTATTTAGGTGGTAGAACCTTAAGTAGTTTTCTGGCATCATCTCTTGAAATTCTTTCAAAACTAGTTCCACTTCTTCGGGTATTGGATTCGTGGTATTTTCGTATTTATAGATCGATATGGCCATATAAGAAGGCTCACCTTTCTTGATCCCTTTCTTAAATTGTATAGTTGGTATAATCCTCTTCCCATTCTTGGTAGAATTATAAATGGTACCACACATGGTTGTTCTCTGAAAAACATTAGATAACTTACAATAAGGAAAGGGATGGCTTATTTGTTCTTAATTAAGGTCAATCTCTAGTAGGTGGTCTCTTACAACTTTCTCCACTCGACGGTTTACTAACTCTCAAAAATTTTACCCCACTGTTTAAGCTAAAGCTACTAGTCTTGGATGGAGGT